GAAGTGGGCACAGATTCCTGATGGACACCTGTCATGAGAGCTGGCAGACTGGCCCCTGGGCAAGAGGAAGCTCCCCTCCCTCCTCAGGTCCTCCACAGGGGTAGTGTCCTTCCTGTACCATGGACCTTGGTTGTATGACTCGCCCATGGGCTTAAGAGACATGATCTGAGCCAAGGTGCCACTTGTGCTGGTATAACGGGTAGATAAGATCTGGGGCTGTGAACAGACCTGGTAGGGGAGCACTAGGGATGCCCCTGCTAGGATGCAGCTCTCACTGGTGAGTGGAAGAGCTGGGACTTTGGGCAGACCTGGCTGAGCAAGGCTGCAGCACCCATCAGTTTGTGTGAGAGATGGGGACAGAGTAGAACTGACCAGGCAGCTGCATTCTCCGGTGTGTCTTGGCTGGCACAGGTGACAAACCAAACCTGACCCTGTGCTGGTCGGTGCACCCAAAAATCAAGTCTGATGTCACCTTAGGTGTGATTTTTTGGGTGACTCCACAACTAGACTGCTGGACTCAAACCCCAACCGCAGTGAAAATCACAGGCTCTGTGCTATGACCTTGGAGTTCATGTGTTGGGCCTCCTCATTGCTGATGCCCGTGCACGTGGACTGCAAGCCTTGATGTACCTGGGGGACATGACAGCTGGCCTAGAGGATGTCGAGTGCCTCTCTGGAGAACAGAAAGCAGCACAGGTTGGACCACGCTCCCGGCCACGCTTTGCAGCATGTCTCTGGGCCTGTGGATGCACGAAGGTGGACTTGTTTGGCCAATAAACCTTGCCAAGACGTTCTCAGCCTTGGTGCAATGAAGTCCACAATGTCTCAGAATGATTAAAACCACTCAAATAAAACCCTAATACTACCCTCCCCTACATTAGGGTCTTTAAAATGCCATCAAATGACCATCCCTTGTCCCCGAGCGCTGATGTAGTTCCACAGAAGGAGTGGGCTCCTCCTCTGCCAATTTCAGACACAGGAGGAAAAAAAATTGTAACATTTGTCTCACCCCTTGACCCTCCCCCACCTAACTGGAGATCCACATAGGTGTGCATCCCTCTCAGCTACGGAAACATATTAAAAATAAATACCCTCCTAAAAAATACATAGTATTCACTGTGAGAGAATGAGAGATAAATTAGTGGCCTCAAGCTCTTTAAAATTGGTGTTAATTTATTCATAAGAATTGAAATTATTGCCTCGGGATTAGGTTTCCAACAACTTTTAGCAGGAGTTAGAGGAATGGGGTAAGCATGGGGGGTGCACATCAAAGAACATTTTTCAAATTTTGTTGTGTTTTGTTTCCATTTCAAAATGTTTAGCCTCCTAGTACAATTCAATTTTAGTTAATTTTATAGCCATAGAAATTAAATTTCAGCTTTTCTTCATTTTCTATCCGTAATCTTGTCTACCATCCTTTTAATCATTTTTATACTGCAAGATATTGAAAGATCTGAAAAGATACTGAAAGATATTTAGAGATGGTTTAGGCATCTTGTCAGCTGTCTACTTCCTATTTTTATTTTTAAACATGTATTTATTTGGGCCCGGCGCAGTGGCCTAGCAGTTAAAGTCTTTACCTTGAATGCACTGGGATCCCATATGGATGTCAGTTCTAACCCCAGCAGCTCTGCTTCCCATCCAGCTCCCTGCTTGTAGCCTGGAAAAGCAGTCGAGGATGGCCCAAAGCCTTGGAACTCTGCATCCATGTGGGAGACCTGGAGGAAGTTCCTGGCTCCTGGCTTCAGACTGGTGCAGCACTGGCTGTTGCAGTCACTTGGGGAGTGAACCATTGGACGGAAGATCTTCCTCTCTATCTCTCCTCCTCCTCTCTGTATATCTGACTTTGTGATAAAAATAAAAATAAATCGACCCGTTGCTATAGCATAGTGGTTAAAGTCTTCGCCTTGAATGCACCAGGATCCCATATGGTTGCCGGTTCTAATCCCGGCAGCTCCACTTCCCATCCAGCTCCCTGCCTGTGGCCTGGGAAGGAGGTCGAGGACGGCCCAAAGCCTTGGGGCCCTGCACCCATGTGGGAGACCCAGAGGAGCTCCTGGCTCCTGGCCTCAGGTCGGCTCAGCTTTGGCTGTTGCGGTGACTTGGGGAATGAACCATTGGATGGAAGATCTTCCTCTCTCTCCTCTTCTCTGTCTTTCCTCCTTTCCAATAAAAATAAATAAATCTTTTAAAAAATTAAATCTTAAAAAAGATGTATAAAAGATGTATGTATTATTTCTATTGGAAAGGCAGATTTACAGAGAGAAGGAGAGACAGAGAGATAGATCTTCCTTATGTTGGTTCACTCTCCAAATGGCCATAACAGCTGGAGCTGAACTGATCCGAAACCAGGAGCCAGGAGCTTCTTCAGGGTGTTCCACACAGTTGCAGGCTCCCAAGGCTTTGGGCCGTCCTCTACTACTTGCTGGGATACAAACTGGCATCCACACGGGATGCAGGACAAAGTGAGGATTTAGCCTCTGAGTCACTGTGTAAGACCCAGCAACTTTCAACATTTGACTAAATCTAAACTTCTTTCTAAAGACTTTTCTAACTTAAGTACGAATTAGATTTTTCCATTTTTTTACCCTGAGTGAATAGAGTGGCATTTATTTCCATAATTGGTGCATGAACAGGAGTGTCCTCTGATCAAATACCCCAAACGTATGTTTCCCATTTGTGCTTCCTCTCATGCCGTTTCTTTGGATTGCTCTCCAACTTCCACAGTAATTGTGCTACAACTTTTTTCCCCCATTTCAAAATTCTTTTCTGTCAAAGGTTCATTCAGCCAAATATTTTGTTAATCTTTATCTGCGTTACATTTTTGTTGACATTTTAATTTCAATTTTGTGTTTAATTTACATTAAAAATCTATCTTGTGCCTGGCGTGGTAGCGTAGCAGCTAAAGTCCTTGCCTTGCACACTCTGGGATCCCACACGGGTGCCAGTTCTAACCCCGACTGCCCCACTTCCCATCCAGCTCCCTGCTTGTGGCCTGGGAAGGAGGTCGAGGACGGCCTAAAGCCTTGGGACCCTGCACCTGTGTGGGAGATCTGGAGGAGGCTCCGGGCTCCTGGCCTCAGATCTGTGCGGCTCCGGCCGGCTGTTGTGGCAGCTTGGGGAGTGAATCATTGGACGGAAGATCTTCCTCTCTATCTCTCTTCCTCTCTGTCTATCTGAATTTCTAAGAAAAATAAAATAAAAAAAATCTTTTTTTTTTTTTTTTTAAAACTTTTTAAAAACAGGCAGCAGCACTGGCTGCTAGTTGTCTTTTGTTTTGCAGCTGCTTGTGCCACAGCCTCTAGAGGGCAGTAGTTGACTCCACGCCATGTGTGACCCTGAGAGGTTCTGAGCAGTGGGATGTGGGAGCAGTGATGTGCGCACGTTTAAAGGTCATGGCCTCCACAGGAAGGCTCCTGGTGCAGGGACATGGACGGGCCTGGGGGCAGGAGACACATGGAGAGCGAGAGACAGGGCTGCCCCCTTAGCGTGCCCAGGTGGATTCTGCACGTGTTGCCAGTGAGTAGCTCCTTGGGCTGTCCTCTGGCTGTGCCATCCAGCACCTGGTCTGCTCTGCCTCCTGAGTGCCCAGGTGTCACCTGGTGGGAGGAGGAGGCTGGCCGTTGGTCGTTGATGCCAGCACTCCACAATCCGACTGCGTGGCTCCAGTCACTGGCTTTCTGCCCGTGAGTGCCACCTGCGCAGGCTTCAGGGAGCTGCTTTCTGCCTGGGACCCCTCAGGATTCTGTAGGAGAAGTTGCTGCAATGACTTTCAGAGTCTTATGCCCAACCAGACACCTGGAGCAGGGGCAAGGGCAGGGCCTGGGCCAGAGGGCCAGGTCTCTGAGAGAGACCGAGTCATCGCTGGGAATGGTGGGATGCACTTTGCTCTGTCTCCTGGCTGGGATGGCCAGAGGTCACACTGTCCTGTCTCTGTCATGACCATTGCCACTCAGCTTGCCTGGGAAGCGGCACCTGCTCCAGGACCCTCTGGTGGTGAACAGTTATGCCCCCTTAGACTATTCTGAAGGGAACACGTGCAGGATGGTTCACGCAACTCTACACTGGGATTTTTTTTTAAAAGTTTCTTTTTTTTTAAATATTATTATCATTTTATGATACAGTTCCATAGATCGTGGGCTTTTCTTATCCCCTCCCCAATTCCCTCTCCCCTCACTGACTTCCCCTATATCATTACTATACTATAGTTGACACTGGGATTTGAAAGAGGCTAAAGGGCACCATAGTCTCCGTGTCTAGGTATCCTAATTTTTTTTTTTTATTTTTTAAAGATTTATTTTTATTATTTTTTATTGGAAAGGCGGATATACAGAGAGGAGAGACAGAGAGGAAGATCTTCCATGCAATGATTCACTCCCCAAGTGAGCCGCAACGGGTCGATACTATGCCGATCCGAAGCCAGGAGCCTCTTCCGGGTCTCTCACGCGGGTGCAGGGTCCCAAAGCTTTGGGCCGTCCTAAAGCTTTGGGCCGTCCTCGACTGCTTTCCCAGGCCACAGGCAGGGAGCTGGAAGGGAAGCCGGGCTGCCGGGATTAGAACCGGCGCCCATATGGGATCCCGGGCGTGCAAGGCGAGGACTTAACCACTTGCGCCACCGCGCCGGGCCCTATCCTAATTTTTTTTTTAAGTTCAGTTATTTATTTGAAGGAGAGAAAGAGAGAGAGCAAGGAGAGGTCTTGTATCTGTTGGTTTACTATCCAAAGGGCCACAACAGCAGAGCTGGGCTGCTCCAAAGCCTGGTGCGGTGCCAGGACTTTCTTCTGGTCTCCCTTGTGGGTCCAGGGGCATAAGCACTAGGACTAGTCTCCTGCTTTCCCAGGTGTGTTAGCAGGAAGCTGGGTCGGAAGTGCAGTAGAAGGGACTTGAACTGGTGCTGTTACGGCGGAGTAGCAGGCAATGGTTTAACCCGTTGTGTCCCAGTGCTGGTCCCACGTTGTGAACTCATGGTCCAGACAGCCAGAGGCTACTCTACTGGGTATACTGGTTTGGTGTGGGTGCCAAAGCTACTGGGAGCTTCACACTGTTCCAGGAAGGTGAAAGCCTTGAGCTCCTCAGCCATGTTTTCCAGTAGGAACCTGTGCATGCATGGACAGGAGGGGACGCAGCAGTGAGAAGGGAGGATGTCATGGGGTGGTGCTGAGGCCTGTTCCTGAGGAAGTAGGCCTGGGTCACTGCCCGCCCACTCTGCCTCACCCATCTTTGTAATCCTTCGTTCACCTATCCCCACCAACTCATCTTACTGCTATCTACTATCTCTTACTGCTGCGTTCAGCATTTCCAGACACTCATCCAGACAATTTGTTTTTAAAGTTTTTGTAGATATAACTGTAAACCTGGCCAAAAAAAAAAAAAAAAAAAAAAACACCCCTCATGACACTGGAGCTGGTGCTGTGGTCCAGCACACTAAACCTCGACCTGCAACATCACTGTCCCATATGGGTGCTGGTTTGAACCCTGGTGACTCCACTGCTGATCAGCTCCCTGCTCATGGGCCTGGTAGAGTGGCAGCGGATGGCCCAAGTGCTTGGGGAGCTCAGCCCACATGGGAGACCTGGATGGTTTCTGCCTGGCCTAGCCCAGACTGTAGAAACCATTTATGGAGTGAACAGCAGATAAAGTATTTCTGTCTGTCTCTATAGCTCTGCCTTTCAAACCAATCAGTGTTAAAACAGCTCATGAGGCTAGCTGAGTAATTATGGTATTTGTACCCCTTTGCAGATACCTGGCACTTTGTCAGCATTTAAAACGAATTGTTGTTATGAAGATTTTATTGACCTTTTACATTTGAATGTATGCTATGAACCAATCATTGTCGTTCCCACGGATTGAACTTATCTCTTGTGTGTTCAGAGAGCAAGCGACACTAAGGTTGGAAGACAAACCCATGGATTCAGTGACAAACCCATGGCCAGAGTTAGCCAGTGGCCTCTGAGGGGTGCAGGTCATTTATAGCAACCACAAAACGCACTGAGGACAGTAAATGGAGCCACTCCCTGGGACCCAGGTCTGTCTCCCCGCTGTTTCACAGCAAGACAAGGGGATGAGGCATGGAAGACAGTGCGAAGCTGCTTCTGAGTGTTCCTACACATGGCATGCATCCCTCAGAGGCTCTGATACTCCTTTCCGTCAGTATTCCTGAAAGAGCACTAGGAGCAGCTCTTGGCGAATTCCGGAGTTGTTCTGATGTTGGCAAGGCGATGTGAAGGCCAAATCTAGGACCCCATAAAGATCTGCTACTTCCTTTCCAGCCCTCGGGCACCTTGGGTGCTCACCTTGCAATCCGGAGCAGTTGCTTGTAGATGTGCAGTCGGTGGGTCCACAGGAAAAGTGCTCAGAAACAGCCTGGCTGACATGGCAGGTGGCCCCGGGTGTCCTCAGGGTGGCATCAAGCTCGGGCGAGGCCCAGAGGGGTGGCATTCCTGGAAAGAGATACGGCCTGTGCCAAGGAGGGGCAGGCAAGCCTGGCACTGGAGTGTGGGGTGTCGGGCACTTCTTTACCCTGAGCGCTACCCGAGAGGTGAGAAACTGAACTTTAAATCCTAAATGATGAACCACACTTTAAACAAGTACATGTGGGCCCGGCGGCGTGGCCTAGCAGCTGAAGTTCTCACCTTGAACACGCTGGGATCCCATACGGGTGCCGGTTCTAATCCCAGCTGCTCCACTTCCCATCCAGCTCCCTGCCTGTGACCTGGGAAAGCAGTTGAGGATAGCCCAAAGCCTTGGGACCCTGCACCCCATATGGGATACCTGGAAGAAGTTCCTGACTCCTGGCTTCAGATGGGCGCAGTACCGGCCGTTGTGCTCACTTGGGGAGTGAATCATTGGCCGGAAGATCTTCCTCTCTGTCTCTCCTCCTCTCTGTATATCTGACTTTCCAATTAATAAATAAATATTAAAAAACAATAAACAAGGACATGAACAGTTATCTGGATTAAGCAAGGCCAGGCTGAAGGCAGCAGTGTACACTATCTAGGTAATCCATGTAGGTAGTGGGGCCCTAACTACTTTAGCCATCACCCACTGCCTCCCTGGGTGAGCAGTGACTGAGAGCTGGCTTGCAAGCAGAGGAGCCAGGATTCAAAAAAGGGACTCTCATAAAGGATTCGGCTGTCCCTCATGGCAACTTAATCATTGTTAAATACCCAGACCACCGAGCAGAAAGGCCTGACTTTTCCTTGCTCTAATTTCCTAAAGCTTTTCTTGTGACGTTTTGGTGAGTGAAATCCTATTTCACCCATTATACTTTGTTTCCAGCAACACCGTTTTGAATTTCACTCAAGTTATTTAATGAGGCTGTAGTATTCACTGTAGGAATTTTATTTTTAAAGATTTATTTATTTTTTATTGGAAAGGCAGATATATATAGAGAGGAGGAGAGATGGAAGATCTTCGATCTGATGATTCACTCCCCAAGTGACTGCAGTGGCCAAGCTCAGCCAATCCGAAGCCAGGAGCGAGAAGCTCTTCCTCCAGGTCTCCCACGCAGGTACAGGGTCCCAAAGCTTTGGGCCGTCCTTGACTGCTTTCCCAGGCCACAAGCAGGGAGCTGGATGGGAAGTGGGGCTGTTGGGATTAGAACTAGCGCCTATATGGGATCCTGGCGTGTTCAAGGTGAGGACTTTAGCTGCTAGGCCACTATGCCAGACCCAGGAATATTACTTTTCTTTAGACCTTATTTGGATGTTTCTCATTAATGACTTCCAAAATGTGCATATGTAGGTATTTTTGTGAATATTACTTAACTGTGGGAGCAAGCCCAGCTTCTGTGCTGCTGGGTAATTTCCAACTATTTTTCAAAGACCTTCTACCAACTTAGACCTTGTAAGCAGCTTCTGTTCCCACTCACGGCCATCAGCGCACATGGCCCTGTACCTTCAAACCTTTTCTTACCCAGTGAGAAGTAAAAACAAGAGAACTCATTTGAGTCTTAAATTGCATTGTCTTCACTGTTATGCAAATGACGTTTATGTTCATGGTCCTAAGTATTTTTATGGAAGCAATCTTAATTAACTGCTTCACTTAAATCACATTGTTCGCGTCACAGACTGGAGTATGTTTTCACTAATGAGATCTTCCACCTGCTGGGTCACTTTCCACCGGGCTGAAGCCAGCAGCCAAGAACTCCATGTGGAGGTTACCTGCCCCTTGGGTTCCAATCTGCTCAGATCTGCATGTCGGGGCACCTCGGGGAGAGAACCAGCACGTGGAAGGCTTCTCTTTCCGTAAACTGTGCCTTTCATGTAAATAATTATCCCTAGTTCTGGAATATTTCCACCAGTGCAAGCCTGCGGTTTTTCCACCCTCGCTATCACATTCAGCCTCTCTCTACCCCTCACTCCGTTACTCCCTGAGGGAAGCCAGGCCAGGAGGCGGCAGGAGCGGCGGGGCCCGCGCCTGGCTTCCCACCGCAGCCGTGGGGAACCGCAGCAGGCCGCGTCCGGCCGGGCACACGGTCCACGCGGCCGGCGGCCCCAGCCCGGTGCAGCAGTCGGGCTCAGCCCAGCCATAGCGACCCCAGCCGCGACGTGCGGGGACGAGGCAACTTCTCGAAGCCTGGAGAGCCGAGAACCGACCTCGCTCCTCACAGATGATCGGAGCTGCCGAGACAATAAACTGTCGGCCGGGACCAGCTACCGGTTCCCCTCAGCCGGGAGCCCGGCGGCCCGGCAGCCCCGGCCTCTCCTCCCAGACCGGCAGCCCCGGCCTCTCCTCCCAGACCGGCAGCCCTGGCAGCCCTACAGCCCGGCTGCCCCGGCCTCTCCTCCTAGCCCCGGCAGTCCCGGCAGTCCCGGCAGCCCCGGCAGCCCCGGCAGTCCCGGCAGTCCCGGCAGTCCCGGCAGTCCCGGCCTCAAGCCGAGGATTCCCCACCCCGCCGCTCCCGGGATCCCCACACGCCGCGCGGCTGTCTGCACGTCCCGACGCCGTGACGTCGATACAGCGCCAGCCGGGGACTAGGAAGCGTGGATTGGAACCCCAGCCTGGAGCAGCTCGGGGCGCCTGGAGGCGGGATTAATTTATGACTGACGTCCCCACACACCCACTCTCCTTCTGAGTCCTTCTCAAACCAACCAATGAGGTGACGACGGAGTCGGCAACGTGCCCTAGCGCTCCAAGTGGCTCCGCCCCTTCCCCCCGGGCCTGCCTCTAGTCGCCATGCTTAGTGTGGCAACCTCCTCCGGGATACTCTAGGTTCTTGAGTGGCTTTGCGTTGCTCTTTCTTAACACCTTTTAAAGCATTATTTCCCTTCCAGTGTCAAATTCCATCCTGCTGCGTTTCTGGCTTGTTGGTTCCTAGCACAGCCACACTTGGGGTGGCGGCTGAAGGCGGGGCCCGGCAGGGGCGTGGCCGACGCGGTGACGTCAGCGCGCCGCGCGTCGGCAGGTGGAGGGAGAAGGGAAAGTTTGGCCGTGCGTGGGGCTCTGGTGGAGGGCGGGACGGAGGGGCTGGGCGCAGCGAGGCGTCTGTGGCGGTGCTGCGGAGGCCAAGCCCGGGCCGTGGGCCGTGCCGGCGAGTGCTGGACACGGAGGAGCAGGAGGCTGGGTCCGTGGGAGCTCCGCGCCTCCGCCGCTCTGCCGCGCCGTGACCCCGCGCCCGAGCGCCGTCCGAGCCGGGGCTGTTCCCGAAGCGGCTGGTGGGGGCGCGGCGGCGGCGGAGGTTGGGGGTGGGGAGGAGCGCGGCGAGGAGACCCGAGAGGTCAGCGAGTTGGAGCGAGGACCGAGAGTCGCGGCCGCCGTCATGACCGAGGACTCGAGCGCCCTGCCCTGGTCCATCAACAGGGACGACTACGAGCTGCAGGAGGTGATCGGTGAGAGCGGGCGCTGCGCCGGGCGGCGGTGACACGCGGGGACGTGGGGGCCGCTGCGGGCCGGGCCTGCTGGAGGCTGTGGCAGCAGGAGGCGGAGTGGGAGTTGCGGGGCGCTTTCTGGGATGGTGGGCTTGGGGGGTGCCGACCGCCCGGCTGGGTGCGGAGCCAGCTTCGCCGACTTGTGTGGTGGGGCAGGTGTTGGCAAGGGGTGCGGAGGAAGGAGGACTCCGCGAGGGAGAGGAGCTTGGGAGTTCCACTCGTGCGTCCTGAGACGGCAGGAGAGATTGTCGCCACTGAGGGCTTGGGGCGCGCCAAACGTGCTGGGGAGGGAAGGGCTCGGCGTGGCTTAGGCCTGTCCGACGACCTTCTCAGGCCCCTGGCAGGGGTTTGGACTTGTGGCGGGTGACATCGGAAGGCTGAAGGACGTCCGGGGATACCTTGGCTAGGGACCTGAAGGCGCCGGCGGTGCGCACAGGTTCCTATGTACTTATGTTGTAGTTCTCAGACAGAGGCACTGCTCGCCTTGGCTCAGCCCCCTCGCACACGAGCCAAACCCTATGTGTTGGAGCATGGGCACTTGTGCACTTGGCTATTCAGCTACTCATCCTGCTCGCTGCTTTCCCGGGTGAATTAGCAGGCAGTTGGATGGGGAGTAGAGCAGCTGGGACTCCCAGCTGACATTCACATGAAATACAGGGGATTCTGGCGTGGCAACGCGTGCTTTTGCGTGAGCACCTTAATGCCGGTCCCTTAGTATCAGTTTTATAATAGCCCGTATTAAGGTTCCTCAGGTACCTTAGGTGTCAGTGTTGTTGCAGTGTGTCGCATTTTAAAGAAGTGTTGTCACATTTCTCTCGGTGAGGGTTTATCTGAACTATAATATCTTTTTTTTTAAGATTTATTTTTATTATTTTTTTATTGGAAAGGCGGGATATACAGAGAGGAGAGACAGGGAGGAAGATCTTCCGTCCGATGATTCACTCCCCTAGTGAGCGCAACGGGCCGATACTATGCCAATCCGAAGCCAGGAGCCTCTTCCGGGTCTCCCACGCGGGTGCAGGGTCCCAAAGCTTTGGGCCGTCCTCGACTGCTTTCCCGGGCCACAGGCAGGGAGCTGGAAGGGAAGCAGGGCTGCCGGGATTAGAACCGGCGGCCATATGGGATCCCGGGCATGCAAGGTGAGGACCTTAACCACTTGCGCCACTGCGCCGGGCCCTGAAATATAACATCTTTTTAAAGATTTGTTTTTATTGTAAAGGCAGATCTATAGAGAGGAGAGACGATCTTCCATCTGTGGTTTCGCTCCCCAAAAGGCAGCAGTAACCAGAACTGAACCGAAGCAAAGGCAGGAGCCAGGAGCTTCTTCTGGGTTTTCCACGCGGGTGCAGCATCCCAAGGCTTTGGCCATCTTCTGCTGCTTTCCCAGGCCACAAACAGGGAGCTGGATGGGAAGTGGGACTGCCGGGACATGGAGTCCCTCTAAGGGATCCCACTGCTTGCAGGAGGGAGGGATTAGCCAGTTGAGCCATCATGCTGCTCCGGCCTCTCCCTCCCTTTCTCCCTCCCTCCCTTCTCAGTTCCCTTCTTTCCTTCTTCAGAGACAGACACACACACATAGAGGCCGAGAGTCTTCCATCCACTGGGTCACTCCTCAGATGGCCACACTGGCCAGAATTGGGCTGTTCAAAGCCTGCAGTGTCTGTCTTCTGAGTCTCTTACTTGGGTGGCCCGGCCCATGCACTTGGGCTATATTCTGTTCCTTTCCCAGGTGCCGTAGTAGGGAGCTGCATCAGAAGTGGAGCAGCTGGGACTGGAACTGGCGCCCTTGTGGTTTGCCGTCCCTGCCAAGCCACAGTGCCAGCCCCACTTTTGTTTAAGCTTCTTTGTGAGCCTGGGTCCTGTGTAGCTAGGTTTTCTCTGGATGCCTCAATTGCAGCATGATGTTAGAAAAGCCAAGAAACAAGGTCCCTAATACTGTTGTAGAGAAGGAGTTTTGCTTCCTGTAGGGGGTCCCATCATTCTGAGGAAGGAGGGTGGTCGCGGTCATTCTTAATGATTTTGGTGATTTAGCAGCTTGTTAACTAGGCATCCTTTGGCAGGGTGCCTAGAAGTAGGCAGCAAGCACTTTCTATTCCTGGGGCTACAGTCGGTCTTTATCATATTCCCTTGCAATCTAGAGTTCATAAAAATTAAGGAAACCAGTATGGGGCCTGGTGTAGTAGCCTAGCAGCTAAAGTCCTTGCCTTGCATGTACTGGGGTCCCATAATAGTGCTAGTTCATGTCCTGGGTGCTCCACTTCCCATCCAGCTCCCTGCTTGTGGCCTGGGAAAGCAGTCGAGGACCGCCCAAAGCTTTGGGACCCTGCACCTGTGTGGGAGACCTGGAGGAAGCTCCTGGCTCCTGGCTTCGGATCGGCTCAGCTACAGCTGTTGTGACTGCTTGGAGATTGAACCAGTGGATGGAAGATCTTCCTCTCTGTAAATCTGACTTTCCAATAAAAAAAACAAATTTCCAATGTGACTGGATAGTACACTATCTTTTTTTAATGATTTATTTATTTTTATTGCAAAGTCAGATATATAGAGAGAGGAGGAGAGACAGAGAGAAATATCTTCCGTCCGATGATTCATTCCCTAAGTGACTGCAACGGCCAGCTGAGCTGAAGCCAGAAGCCCAGATCCTCTTCCGGGTCTCCCATGCAGGTGCAGGGTCCCAAGGTTTTGGCCAGCCTCCACTGCTTTCCCAGGCCACAAGCAGGGAGCTGGATGGGAAGTGTAGCTGCTGGAATTAGAATCAGTGCCCATCTGGGAACCAAGTATATTCAATGTGAGGACTTTAGCTGCTAGGCCATGGTACTGGACCCAACCTTTTTTTTTTTTTTAAAAGCACACCCATGAAAAATGCAACTTAAAACAAACAAGAAAAAAACACCCATTTACTGTTTTGCTCTCTGAATGGCCACTTGAGGCAGGGCCATGCCAGGCCCAAGCCAGGAACACTAGAACTCCATGGTCGGGGTCCGAGTCCTGGGGCCATCACTGCTGCCCCCCAGGGTACACACGAGCAGGAGAATGGATGGGAAGCAGAGCCAGGACACTGTCCCAGACCCTTCAGGGTGGAATGCGAGCAGTGGCTTCTCGCCTGCATCACCACACTGCCTGCCGCGAAACTCGCTCGCCGTCATGATCCGGTTTTACAGATTTTGTTTACTGTGTTGTGAGTCATTGTCGTGATGCACTTTTACAGCGTCTGTCACCACTCTGATCCTAGTGCTCAGTAATGGTTCGTTTCGCTTCCCACCCTCGACAGTCGTAATTCTTGTTGTCTGTACGGTTTGGCCTTTCGCACACGTGGGGATCCTGCGCCTTGGTCTTTGGTGTTGGGCTGCTTCCACTCCACATACCATGTCCGCTTTCAAAACACTTCTGTTGCTCTGCTTTATCACCACGGCTGACTGATGAAAGTATACAAGTCAGAGATTTTTTTTTACTTATTTCATGAAGTTGCTCAGTCACTACAGCTCTACTTAGGACGTTTCCATCATTCCGAAAAGATGCCTCTTGTCCATTTGCAGTCAGCTCCCTGCTCCCCTGTGCTCTCACCACACATCTGTACATTTCACGCGAATTATGCGAGGATAGAAAGTGTGGGCCTGTGTGTCTGGCCTCCGTGTAAGTCTGAGGCTTGTCTGTGCATGCTTCCTTCGGAGTGGGTACCAGCTGATGGATACTGGTCTTGACCATTTAGAGTGAGGCTGCTGTGTAAGCCTCTTTTATTTTTCTTGCTTGTGTACCAGGGGATATTTGGAATTGATAGATTGTGTGGTAAATGCACCTTCTTTTTTAAAAAAATATTTATTTTTATTGGAAAGGCAGATTTACAGAGAGCAGGAGAGATTGAAAGATCTTCCGTCCGCTGGTTCACTTCCCAAGTGGCTGCAACTATGGGAGCTGAGTGATCTGAAGCCAGGACCCTTGAGCTTCTTCTGGGTCTCCCACATGGGAACCCAAGACTTTGGGCTATCCTTGACCACTTTCCCAGTCCACCAACAGGGAGCTGGAAGGAAATGGGACAGCTGGGACACAAACCGGCAGCCATATGGGATCCCAGGCATGCAAGGCGAAGACTTTAGGCACCTGGCTGCTGTGCTGGGCCCAGTAAATGCAACTTAAAAAAAAAAAACCCACATTATTTCTTTATTTGAAAGGCAGAAATGGAAAGTACAGCAGACACAGGACAAAAGAGAAAGAGAAATTCTGTGTGTCTGCTGCTTCACTCCCCGAATGCCTGCGTAGCAGGACTGGTTCAGGCTGAAGCCAGGAGCCTGGAGCTTAACTGCGTCTCCCACAAGGGTGGCAGAGAGCCTGGCACGGGAGCCATCCTCTGCTCCTGCCTCGGGTACAAATTGAAAGTGGCACTGGAGTCGACCCCAGGCACTTGGAACCAAGTGTCTCACAGGTGTGCCTGCCCCCGACCTCTCAAGAGGTTACCGTACTGTTGTTCAAAGTAGTAGTAGCGCTTCGCATCCCCAGTGGCAAGGTGTGAAAGTCCACATCCTGGTCGGCAGTTAGTCACCCGTCTTTGTGATTGTGATCATCCTGGAGGCATTGCACTGTGGTTTTGATTTGCATTCCCTAATGTGAGCATCTCGCCGTGCCTGGTTAGTTCGCTTTTGTCTTCTTTGATGAAGTATCCATCAGATGTTCTACATGTTTGGGTTGCTTGTTGAGCTGTTTGTTCTCTTATTAAATTGTACTGTGTAGAGTGAGCAAGAGAATGTGTTGTTCTCTTTCTAGATACGAGGCCTTCTGTAAGATAATTTCGAATTAAAATGTTTCCCCCAATTTGTAGTTCATTCTTTACATTTTTAAAAACCTTTCTCTCTCGTTTAAAGCTTTATTTTTATTTGAATGCCAAAGTTGCAGAGAGAGCAGAGACGGAGACTTCCATCTGCTGGTTCACTCTCCAGAGAACCACAGCAGCTGGAGCTGAGCTGACCCAGAGCTGCTCCAAGCAGTTCCCTCCGTGTCTCCCACATGGGACAGGGACTCATACACTTGAGCCATCCTCCTCTGCCCTGCCACGTCATAAGCAGGAAGCTGGATTGGAAGTGCAGCTGCTGGGATTCAAACCGTGCCCCGTGGGATGCCAGCGCTGCAGTCAGAGGCTGAGCCTACTATGGCATAATGCTGGCTCCATAATTTTGTTCATGTGTCTTGGAAAACACGAAAGTTTTGCATTTTGATGTGGGTTCTCAATTTTTTCCCTTTATTATTATTGTTTTTCATGATACAGTTCCACAGACACAGGAATCCTTTCCCCACTCCCCTGTTTCCCGCCCCTCCCACTGTTTTCCCCATTGTCCTTCAGCAGCAGTTGCAAGTCCAACATTCTGCTTCTTAAGTATATCATGACATTGTAAGCATGGACAGTGACAGAGAGTCCAGCATCCTCCTGTCAAGATATGTAGCAGTTTTGGTGGGACTCCTCCTTTTATTCTGTGGGCGAAATACATACTGTGACATATCTTCACTTCCTTGTATGCCAGTCTCTATTATACAGTTTACGTATGTGAATCTATGTATTTGTGTTTGCCTAGATATCTGTTGATCTTGTGTGTTGCATATTTTGATATAAGGTTGCCATATATCAAAGAGAACATATGATATTTGTTCTTTTGGGGTTGGCTTATTTCACTGAGTATAATGATCTCTGGTTGGGGCCATTTGGTTGCAAATGGTAGGATTTCATTCTTTTTAATGGCTCAATAGTATTCTGTGGAGTAGGCGTATCAGTTTCTTTATCCACTCCTTTTTTGGCAGGCATCTAGGTTGTTGTGCTGTTTTCCCTATTGTGTTTCGTGCTGTATAGATACAGGGTTGTAGGTCACTGTCTCATATGCAGATTTTGCTTACTTTGGATATATTCCCAGAAGTGGGATAGCTGGGTCATATGGTCGGTCAGTTTTCAGTTGTCTTAGCACTCTCCACACTGACTTCCCTAGTGACTGCGTGAGCCTACACTCCCACCAACAGTGAAGGAGGGTACTTTCCTCCTCGCTCCACACCAGCAGGTGTTGTTACATTTCTGATTGTAGGCCTGTCTCACCGGAGTTAGGTGGAACCTCATTGTGGCATTTATTTGCATTGTAATAGCTAAGGAGCTTGATTGTTTTTTCATATCAGCCATTTGAATTTGTTTTTTGAAAATTGCCTGCTCGTTTTCTTTGCCCATTTCTTGACAGGGTTGTTTGTTTTGCTGTCATTGAGTTTCTGAAGCTCTGTGTAAATCCTGGATATTACTCCCTTATTGGTTGTATAGCGTGTAAAGATTTTCTCCCATTGTGTTGGTTGTTTCTTCACTTGGCTGGTCATTTGCTTTGCTGTACAGAAGCTTTTTCGTTTGATATAATCCCAGTTGTTTATTTTGTCTTTGCCTGCCTGTGCTTTTGGTGACTTTTTAAAGGAATCTTTACCAATACCTGTATCTTGTAGAGTGCCTGCTATGATTTCCTCTAACAGTTTGGTGGTTTTGGGGTGTAGCTTTTATATCCTTGATCCATGAAGATCTGATTTTTTTTATAAGGTGACAGGTGGAGGTGTTGTTTGTTCTACAGGCCGCTGTCCCCATAGCATTGTTGAAGTGAGGAAACTTCTTGCCTGGATTGTTTTCCATTTTCTGTTAGCTGTGCGTGTGTGGGCTGACTTCTGGAGTTACTATTCTGTCCCATTGATCTTCTTCTGTGTCTGTTGCAGTACCAGAGCGCTTTAATTACCATTGCCCTCTAGTATATCTTGAGGTGTCTGGAACCCTGATTCCTCTGGCTTTATTTTTATTCTTCAGGATAGCTTTAGCTATTCGTGGTCTCTTATGCTTCCAGATGAATTTTTCTATCTTTTTTTTTTTTTTTTAAGATTTATCTGTTTTTATTACAAAGTCAGATATACAGAGAGGAGGAGAGACAGAGATGAAGGTCTTCCATCCAATGATTCACTCCACAAGTGGCCGCAATGGCTGGTGCTATGCTGGTGCTATGCCGATCTGAAGCCTGGAACCAGGAACCTCTTCCAGGTCTCTCACGCGGGTGCAGGACCCCAAAGCTTTGGGCCATCCTCAACTGCTTTCCCAGGCCACAAGCAGGGAGCTGGATGGGAAGCAGGGCTGCCAGAATTAGAACTGGCGTCCATCTGGGATCCAGGTGCGTTCAAGGCAAGAACTTTAGCTGCTAGGCCATGCTGCTGGGCCCTGTCTTCTATATTTCTGAGAAGCATATTGTTGGTGTTTTGCTTGGGGTCACTATGGGTCTGTGTATTACTTTGGGGTCATGTTGGGTCTGTCTATTACTTTGTTTGGGGTCATATTGAATCTGTGTATTACTTTGTTTG